ATATGCCTCCCAGACATGACTCCCCCTTCCTCTGAACTTCATTTGTTAAGTAACCCTTCTTTTTTTAAATCTCCGTCACATAACAGTCTCCTGCCCGTGCAGCTGAGCGTGCCTCCTGGGTGCCCAGCACATTGCTCCGCACTCTCCTGTGGCAGGTGTCACAGTCCATATGGTCAGTTGTCGATGGGCTTGTCCTCTGACCCTCCTCTCTCTGCCCTCCCAAACTAGATCCTGAACTCCTTGAAGGGGGACTTCAGTTTTATTCTTCTCTCTGTTGCCTGCACACCCGCATTTTACATTAGGTAGCACAGTATGGTTTTACTGACTTGTTCTAAATTGAAATAGGCTACGACTGCAGCATATGGCATTGAAGGACTTCCTGACAAAGAGGGAGAAGTTAGGAGATTCTTCCCTGGATATTTCCCAGGGAGAAAAGCTTCCATCTGGGAAGAATCACCCAGGATGAAGGGAGTTGGGTCAAACAAGGCTCCCAAAGGACCTGGTCATCTCAAGAAGCCTGTCCTGCCACCTAAGACTGTCGAGATGACAGTGACCCCTGCTTCCCAGGTTCTCTTGGGAAACCTGCCTGTAGCTCCCAGGGCCCTAGGGGGTCATCTCAGGCAAGGCATCTGGGGAGGAATCCCCTTCTCGTGGCCTTAGGATTCAGGTCCCCCTGCCCATCCACCCCTCAGAGAAGTGTGTTTGTGTCCCTTTTTCTGTCCCTCTCCCTCACCACCACCCTCGACATTCCAGCCTAGGGCAGGGGGAGGCCAGCAGACACAAAGCCCTCTGTGTATGGGGTGGTATGTGTACCCCACCCTCCACCCAGAGGACACAATGCTCCTTCTGCTCCCTGCAGTCAGCCCCCTACCACCACCTCTCAACTGCACATGCCAGGCTGCAATTGGTTACTGGCTCAGGACAGCCCCCTCATACTGGGGCCCTGGGGGATTTTAAGCGGGTTCCAGGAACCCCCCGCTCAGTTCCTGGTCCCCCACTCTCCCAACCCTGCAGACCCTGCCCCAGCTATGGCTCCTGGGGCTCCCTCGTCCAGCCCCAGTTCTATCCTGGCCGCACTGCTCTTCTCCTCATTGGGTAAGTGGAACCACCCCAGCCTGGGGCCCTGGGACTCAGGTTCTCTCTGCAAACTTCCCACTACCTTCCCTGTACTGCCCACTGCAATTAAAGAAAGAGTGAGAAGGACCAGGAAGAGGATATTCTATTCAGAGAAAAAATACATAGTTTGGAGGGAGGCATAAAGGTATTCTGTGAAGGGAGAAGGTAAAAGAGAATGTAGAGAGCTTCCCTGAGGTGGACCATACTAGACCCAGGTTGGGAATCGGTAACTTGGCCCAGAGCCATGCTGAGGGCCTGGGGGAAGCAATGTTAGAGCAAGATAAGGACCAGGGTCAGACACCTGAGTCTGGTTCCTACTCATGGTCTAGTACAGAGGTACCAACCCTTAGTTTCCATGAAGGGAACATCCAGGGGTTGTGATCTAAGGAAAGGCCCCACGTTTGTGGTCCCAGCTCCTTGGGTCCTTTGCCTCTGGGTGCCTCAGTTTCCCTCTGTGGATCAGTTGTCTAATATGTGGGCAAAAGGAGTGGGAGGAAGGGTTTATGAGATTCTAAGATTTTGTTCATCGAAAGCTGTCTTCCTTCATAAGTTGATCGACCCCTTCCTTGCCCCATGGTAGATGTTGGGTGAGCAAGAGAAGGTCAAAGCAGGGTGATTGAACGGGTCCTTCTTCTCTGAACTGTTCTGGAGCAGCAGGCAAATGGGTGGGGCTGCTCAGGATGGCCAACGTTCTCTGCTTTCAACTTCTTGGTCCTCAACCCAAACCCAGACTCTTCTGGGCTGTACTGGACTATTCGGGGCCCCTGAGGAAACACTGGGGAAAGGCGTGGAGAGGGGGAGTGTTCTGTCCCAGCACCTGCCCCACTCACTGAGCAGAGCTGAAGGGCAGTGGGGGACATTAGAACAGGAAGAAGAGGAGGTGGACCCAATGAATAACTTTCCTTGTTGCTCTTGGGAATCCCAAGAAGGCTCTAAGGCGGAGGTCCTAGGTGGCGAGTCAATGTATTACATGCTGAGGTGGGAGATTCAGGACCATGTGGGGGCGGCATGAGCCCCCAACATTGCTCAGACAGTGGATCTCTGTTTGGCTGCTTGCTCCCCATCTCGTAGAACAAAAGAGTCTACAATTGCCCCCACTCGGCCAGCCCACGCACGCAATTCCCTGGAATGGCCTTTCTTGTGTGGGTGAGTCTTGGGCGTGGCACTGACCCAGAACGGCCACGAGGAGGGTGAGCAGGTGGAACCACAGAGCGCTCACACGCAGTCAGCTGAGCTCTGGACTTGGGGTTTTGCGCTGTACCCAGCTTCCCCTGGGGATTTCCTTCCTGATCTCCCGGTCAAGGGTCAGCAGTATGGCAACCAGAGATTCAGCAGTGAGGACAACTGGGCCAGGGAAGAAGACTTAACACTTTCTAGTTATCTTCTTTTTTTTTTTTTCCTGTAGAAAAATTTGATTTTGCTTTTAAAAAGAAGATTGTCTCTATGAATCAACATGGAAACCCTACATATATTATTTTATACACATATTTTCTTAAGCATAAGTACCTGCATATCTTGAGTTTATTAAGTTTATATTGAATTTGATTCACAGAAAAAGGCTACACATTAAACTGATAACAGCCTGGCTGGTGTTGCTCAGTGGTTGAGTGTCCCCGGTTCAATTCCCAGCAGGGCACAGCCTGGGTTGCAGGCTTAACCCCCAGTAGAGGCGTGCAGGAGGCAGCCAATCAATGATTCTCTCTCATCATTGACAGTTCTCTGTCTCCTTCTCCCTTCCTCTCCGAAATCAATAAAAATATATTTTTAAAAAATGATAACAGACAGGGAAGGAATTGGTTGAGGGGGTCTCAAGAGAGACTTTAGCTTTATCTCTGTTGCTTGAATAGTTTATAAGAAGAATGTAATATGTGTTACCTGTATAATTTATAATAAATTTAAAAAATTGTAAAGCCTGCATCATAGGGATGGCTTACGGGAAACTGAGCCTCAGGGAAAGGGAGACTCGCAGACAAACGCAAGCCCCTGGCTGTCCCCCAGGGAACAGTCACTGCCCATTTTCTCGCTCAGGCCGCTGACAAGCTTGGACCAACACAGCATTTCAATCTGCTATTCAGTGAGTCGGGAGACTTGGGCCTCAGAATGTATCATTTCTGCCCCAGTCTCTTCTCGGCCCACTTGGCCTGAGCAGGACCTGCCCTCACCTGCTCGGTGTCCGTGTGGGGCCCCCAGCACCCGCTCCCCTCTGTTTGCAGTGCTGTCCCTGGCCCAGGCCATTGTCGTGTACACGGACAGGGAGGTCCATGGCGCTGTCGGCTCCCGAGTGACCCTGCACTGCTCCTTCTGGTCCAGCGAGTGGGTCTCGGATGACATCTCCTTCACCTGGCGCTACCAGCCCGAGGGGGGCCGCGATGCCATCTCAGTGAGTGCCTGGGGGACCCTGGGGCTGCATCGGAGAGGGCGCTTCCGAGGCCACAGGCAGGAGAACCCGGGCGGCGGGGGGTGGGGAGGGTCCTTTATGAGCCACGACCCCCGGTGGTGGCGGGGCAGGCCCACCTTGGCCGCCGGGAGCCTGTCTGCACGGTCCCCTCCCGCCCGCCCCAGCCCAGGCCCCGCGCCTGTGGCTGGAACCGCCCGCCCTGGCTCCGCAGATCTTCCACTTCGCCAAGGGGCAGCCCTACATCGACGAGGTGGGGACCTTCAAGGAGCGCATCCAGTGGGTAGGGGACCCGCGCTGGAAGGACGGCTCCATCGTCATCCACAACCTGGACTACAGCGACAACGGCACGTTCACCTGTGACGTCAAGAACCCCCCGGACATCGTGGGCAAGACCTCGAAGGTCACACTCTACGTCTTCGAAAAAGGTGCGCGAGGAGACGGAGGGCGGGTCTGGGGCCCTGGGAAGCGGGCGGAGGCAGCTGGGGTCACCCCCGCCCGCAGCGGAGGGGGCAGGTCCGGCGGGTCTCTCACTGTCCCTCCCTCCCAGTGCCCACGCGCTACGGGGTGGTGCTGGGCGCGGTCGTCGGGGGCGTGCTGGGCGCGGTGCTGCTGCTGCTGCTGCTCTTCTACCTGGTGCGGTACTGCTGGCTGCGCAGGCAGGCGGCCCTGCGGCGGCGGCTCAGGTAGGGGCGCCCGGGGAGGGGGAGGGGGAGGGGCAGGGGGAGGGGAGCGCCCCGCCCACACCCCGTCTCCCCGCAGCGCCATGGAGAAGGGGAAGCTGCACAAGTCTGGGAAGGACTCCAAGCGCGGCCGGCAGGTTAGCGGGGCTCGGGGCCGGGACCCGGGGCGGGCGGGACGGGCAGGTGACTGACTGCGCCCCTCCCCAGACGCCCGTGCTGTACGCCATGCTGGACCACAGCAGGAGCACCAAGGCGGCCAGTGAGAAGAAGTCCAAGGGGCTGGGGGAGTCTCGCAAGGATAAGAAATAGCGGTTAGCGGGCCGGGCGGGGGCTCGGGGCGCAGGGGCGGAGGCCCCCCAGGGCGCGCAGGTGGTGGTCATCGAGATGGAGCTTCGCAAGGACGAGCAGAGCTCGGAGCTCAGGCCCGCAGTCAAGTCCCCCAGCAGAACCAGCCTCAAGAACGCCCTCAAGAACATGATGGGCCGGGACTCGGACCCGTGACCAGCCCAGGCCCTGCCAGAGCCGGGGTCCGGGCTCCCTTTGCCCCTCTAGCTGCCTGCCCTGCCCTCACTTCCCTCTGAGATGTAAGTTTCACTCCAAAATTCATTCCCCAGGCACGTCATACTCTCCCCCACCTTCACCCCCTGGCTTTCTGGGAGTCCAGGGCCTGATCCTACCCTGCACCGCCCCCAAGGACTGTGTGTTTGGTGCCTGTCCCTCCGGCACCGAGAAGAAAGGGACCTTGCTACCCCGCGCCTCGACTCCAGGCCACCTGCACCCGTGCCCCTGCACCCAGCCTGTCCCGCTGCCTCTTCCCTCCCTGCCCCTCCCACCCCTCCGTCAGGGGCCCTGCCCTCCTGTGTGCTCTCAGCTAACACCGGGTCATCCAGATCAGCCGCCCTGCAGGGTTTATTTCGGTTCTCTTATTTTTTTAATCCAAGCTTGTTGGTTGGTTTGCCGGTGCCCTTGCTCTGACCCCCATGACTGAGTACCAATGACGTCATGTGGATGTTTGGATTCCCCGCCCCCATTACGTCCTTCAGGGAGTCCGCCGCGCAGGGCCCCCGACGCCCGCCCTCTGGCCGGCCGCTCCGAGCACTGTCCTGGGGCCCGAGGTCCTGGGGGAGGAGGGACAACGATCCTCAGGTCAGGAGTTGAGGAAAGGGGCAGATGAGCCTTAAGAAATGGCTTTTAAACAACCACACAGAAAGGAGGAAAACAAATGGGAACTAGGGTGAAAGGGAAGAGGCCACACTCCCAGCCACAGGGGATTCTTAGAATTTTTCTACATTCTGTATATTTCTTCTCAACCCCCGAATGTCCTCATATGTTTAATAAACACTGACATTTCCAGAAGCTGCTGCCTCCATCTCCGCTGCCTCGTTCTTCTGGGAATAGCCCCTGCCCTCTCCAGCCCAACCCAACCCCCCCCCCCCACCCGCCCACAACTGGTTTCCCTGAAGAGCTTGGTTGCTGGTGCAGCTCACACAGCGCAGGGAAGGCCACTCTGAAGTGGCTCACGAGGCACATGCCAGCCGTCACCACACCCAGTGGAGTGGGCGCATGCTGTGTGCGCACCCGCTCCGAGAGAAGATGGGGAAGGGCGGCAGCAGCTCCCTGGAGTGATCCCACTGCAAACAGCTCCGGAAATGATGGAAACGCAGCCAGGGGAGAGGGCCAGAGAGAGAGGCAGAGGCGCCGAAGGGAGCGCCCTGCAAGGACTGAAGGCAGGAATGAGAGATGGAAGAGACCGTGGGAAAGCTGGCTGTGTTGGGGCCGGATGGAGGACAGGGCAACGACCCCAGGCCCTGGCAGCAGGCTGTCGGGGAAGCAGGATCCCTGTCCCTTCAGGGGCCTGACTTACTGCCAAGATCCTCTCCCAGTTTGGGCTTGAGAACGTACCCCAGCACCCCTGCTCCTCAGGGCTGCACACCCAGTTCCGTCACCCGCGTCAGCGGAAAACCGCAGAAGGAGGTCAGAGCGACAGGGTGGTACCGCCAGTGCTTTCGCGGGGACTTTCCAGCACCGTCTCTTCTGCTGACCGGTAGTAGCAGGTTTCGCTCACAGAATAAGGCGCTCGAGCAAGTCCTGGCGATTGGTATTCAGGATCGTGTCTCCAGCGGTAGGAACTGGGGGGACAGGAGAGAAAAGGGGTTCCAGGGCCCAGGAGGAGTTGCGGGCGCAGAGGTGGCAGAAATGAGCAGCGGGCGGAGAAGCGGGTTTCAGGACCTGCTGAGCGTGGCCTCGGACTCTGCAAAGGAGGCCCAGCCCTCTCTCAGGTCAGAACACTCTCCCCACACTGAGCCTGTGTTTGCGGCCACACCGTGTCCCTAACATGCGAATGGGGGCAAGTGTAACGGGAAAGGGAAACAATCATTTCCGCACCATACGGCCCTGAGCAGTGGAGCCTGCGGAGGGGCTGGTGACAGACCCCCGCTGCCTTCCGCCAGCCCAGAGCCCCACCCGAGCCTCGCCCCACAGGAGCCCTGCTCTCCCCGCCCCTCCAGGGACCGAGGGGACAGGAGCAGGCGCAGTAACAGGGGCCTCCCTGTGCCTTAGCTCCATCCTCCCATGCCTGGACTTGGAGGCACAGCCTGCCTGGCTCCCTGCTCACAGCTGTTAAGTGGTTTCACTTCCTGCGTTTGGCTCTGGTTTCCAGGTACGAAGCTCAAGTCTCAACAATGTAAACTCATTTGAAAGCCATCATTTTATTTAATTCATGGTTTAAAGTCTTCAGTGTGGCCCAGTCATCTTCTTCCACTACATTTGCTTAACAGTTGTGTGTGTGTGTGGGGGGGGGGGGGGGAGGGGTAAAGCAGCAGGGACAGCTAGGACAGGTCACGTGGGACAGGGAGCAAGATGACGGGGTGTGCCCTCGGCTGGAGGGGAAGGGAAGGGAGCAGCAGGCCCGGGGTGGAGGCAGCAGTGTGGGCGTGAAGCAGGGTGTGGGCAGGTCGGGGCGGAGAGGTGGGCTTCAGCGAGAAAGTGCTCAGCACCTGCCCTCCCTGGGGCCAGCACTCACCCTCCTCCCAAGAAAAGTCAGAAGTAGAGGTTAAACGACTCCACTGGAGGGTTATTGTTTCTGTAATTGTGAAACAGCTAAAACCTCACCGAGCGGCTATCCCTTCTGTCCCGACTCCACAGTGGGGCAGGCGGGAGCTCCAGGGGTCACCAGGTCTGCGTGGCCTCTGGGGAGGCTAGATGTGGGGTTAGGGGCAGGCAGTCTCCCTGGCAGCAGCCTGTGTCCTCAGAGATCCCTCTCACTGTCCTTCCTCCCCAGTCTACCCCAGCTCCCACGCCCCTGCCTCTGCCCTGCCCCAGCCTTGATGGTGAAGGCAACACCCTTTGCCTGGCCCAGTCCCCCTGCGTTCCTGGGACTCATCTACTCAGCAGACACTGATGTGAAAGCTGCTGTCGCCAGTCTCCAGGGGCTCCCGTCCCCACCACGGCTTGGCGCAGCAGGAAGTGGAGGTGGCAGTGCAGAGGGTGTGAGGGAATGTTACCTGAAGTGGGACTGTTGTAACGACAGGCAGACAGTGCGTATCCCCCCCAGGCACCCGACTCTGAAGACTTCCCCTCCCTCCCACACTGTACGGGGGAGGGGCCCTCAGCCTCAAAGCCTCTTCTACTTCAACCTCACGGGCAGAGGAACTGGTTAAGGAGGCTTAGCCCAAGGAGAAGCTGGCCCACCCTCAGGCAAGTGGCTGCCAGCTGAATTCTTCCCCTGTCCTATGTTCCTCATGCTCTGCTGCTGTGATGACTTGAGGGGCCACAGAAAATAGCAGATAAGGGTCAAACTTGCCCGAATGAGGGGTTAGCAGGGGTGAGGAACCTTCTTTCTGCCGAGGGCCATTTGGATATTTAAAGCATCATTCACAAGCCACACAAAACTATCAACTTAAAAATTAGCCTGCTATATTTGATCAAACATTTAATTAACTCACCCCTAATGCCTTGGCAGGGCCAGACCAAATAAATGATTTTGTGGACCTCGTACGGCCCGAGGGCCAGACGGTCCCACCCGGGATAGAGGGACAGAGACAAGGCGCATGGAAGCCAGAGCTTCGGAGTGTGGAGTGGGGCGGGCGGGGCTGGCACTCAGGAGCTGGGGTCCTTTTTCCTCTTCTGGAATCGCCGGAACTTGCCCTGAATGGCCAGGGCAGCCTTCTCTGTCTCCGGCGCTGTCAGGTCGATGTCCACCTCCTCCTCCCCCCCCTCGGCCTTCTTGGCATTGCCAGCTTCCCCTGCAGGCGGTGAGATTCCCGAGTGAGTAACCCTGCACAGCCCAGCCCTCCTCCAGGCCCCAAATGCTGAGGTCAAGCCCACCCCTGTGGCCTCCGCGAGCCCAGTGTCGCCTGGAGCCAGAGGCAGGAACCCAGGCCCAGGGGAGCTCCGCTGCGCCTGCACCAGGACCACAGGTGCCTCTCACCACCTGTTCCCAAACCTACAGTCCAACCCAGAGCTCATCGTGTTCCCCAGCTGTCCCTCAACTTCCAATGAAGACCGTGGCTGGATTATTGATTAGTTCCTTCCTGTCTTGGGCCTGTCTCCAACCACTCCAGAGCCAGTTTCTAAAACCAGAGAGTAAACACTGGGAGGTGTACCTCTTGGGGAAACGTGGCAGGAAGCCTATAGAGACAGTAGTTCTAACCCAGTGCTTTGTTCCCTTATCCGCGCTCAGGGGCTCCAGACTTACAGCCCTGCCTGTCTTCATGTCCAGGTGTCACTCACCTGCTCTGTGACCTGCCCAGCCCAAGCCCACTCACCCTTTTCCTCTGGGCCAGGTGCCTGGTTGGCTGCTGGGGATGTTTTGGTGTTAAGCTGAGAAAGAAAAATCAGAATATTAGACATTCATGGCAGTATTATGGTACCAACCCCTTCAGACTCACCCTCATCAGGTCCCAGCCCTCCTATTACGAGGCGCATTCCCTAGTCTTTTGAAAAAGTGGGTATTGAGATCAGAGAGGTAGAAAGTCATCAGAATCCATTCAACAGGTGTTTACTGGTGCCAGGGAAATTGCAGAGGACAAAGCAAAAACCTCGCCCTCGTGAAGTTTACATTCTAGTGCAGTGATGGCGAACCTATGACAGAGGTGACACACGAACTCATTTTTTTGGTTGATTTTTCTTTGTTAAATGGCATTTAAATATATAAAATAAATATCAAAAATATAAGTCTTTGTTTTACTATGGTTGCAAATATCAAAAAATTTCTATATGTGACACGGCACCAGAGTTAAGTTAGGGTTTTTCAAAATGCTGACACGCCGAGCTCAAAAGGTTCGCCATCACTGTTCTAGTGTAAAGATTAATAAATAAAACAGGCCAAAACTGGTTTGGCTTGGTGGATAGAGTGTCGGCCTGTGGACTGAAGGGTCCCAGGCTCGATTCTGGTCAAGGGCATGTACCTTGGTTGCGGGCACATCCCCAGTAGGAGGTGTGCAGGAGGCAACTGGTCAATGTTTCTTTCTCATTGATGTTTCTAACTCTCTATCCCTCTCCCTTCCTCTCTGTAAAAAACCAATAAAATATATTTTAAAATAAATAAATAAATAAATAAAACGGCCCCTGGCCGGGCGGCTCAGCTGGTTGGAGGTCATCCTGCGCACCGAAAGGTCACAGGTTTGATTCCTGGTCAGGGCTCATGCCCAGGTTACGGTGATCCCCAGTTGGGGGAGCAATTGGAAGGCACTGATTGATGGGATGTTCTCACATCAAA